ACAACCAAGTCCACAGTGATACCAGAAAAGAAGTAAGGGGCGGGGAGCTCCTACTTATAAAATAATGTCAGCCAATAAACGTAGAGGAATGATAGGAAATCGCCAACTTGCAACCACCAATAAAAGATTCACTCAAGAATCATCAGTGGATCCCAAAACCGTTTGGTGAAAATTTATTAGGGAACAGGATGTTTACAGTTTCAAATTGCACAACAGATTACTTACTAGTTTTAAAGGGGAAATGTATCACTGCAATAGAGAAATTTGGCAAATATCACTGTAACCAAGTGATCAAACTTAGCATTTTCGATAACTGATATGACACAGTGTAAAGTATACATCACCCATTTGGTACTTTTCTTACCAAACATGTTTCACCTGAATCTAATGACATGGAACAATCAAACAAATTTAGCTTATGAGACCTCCTACCAAAACAACTGGTATGCATTCTTCAAAATATGTCAGTGTCCAAAAGACAGTCCCCACCCCACCACCATCAAACTAGATTAAAGGAAACTAGAGAGACATGACAGCCAAATGGAATATGTGATTCTGGTTTGGATCTTGGATAAAAAAATTTTTTAAAAAGCTAGGGGCTGGTTTGTTAGTTCAGTTCATTAGAATGTGGAACTGATAACACCAGTGTCCAGGCTTTCGTCCCTGTACTAGCCAGCCAGCAAAAAAATAAATAAATAAAGCTATGAAGAACATAATTGTGGAAATTTTGTTATGGAGCCAATATTATGTCAATATTAAATATCTTGGGTATGATAATGGCATTGTGGTTATTTATGTAAGAGAATGTCCTTGTTCTTAGGAGAGACAGCTAGTCATATTTAGAGATGCAGTGTTATAATGTCTGCAACTTCCAGCTAGTTTGGTAAGATAAAAATAAATAATGTGCATGTATCTATGGAAGAGAGAAAGGGAATAAGGGAGAGAATGTGAATGGCAGAATGTTAACAGTTGGAGAATCTAGGCCAAGGGTATGCAGATGTTTGTTTTATAATATTCAGCTTTTCTATAGATTTTCATGTTTTCAAAATAAAATGTCGGGGGAAAATAAAAAGTAAGAGGAAAGGAATTGTAGACAGAACTAGCCAAGTCTTTCAAGAAGTTTTGCTACTTAGGGAAGCAGAGAAATGTGGGAGCAGCTAGAGGAGAATGGGGGGTTAAGAGAATTTCAGCTTTTAGATTGAGAGAAATCTACTGTGTGTATGCTGATGTGAGATAACAGCAGAGGGAGGTCTGGTGATGATGGAGAGGGAGACGAGAATTGCTGGTGTAATGTCTGTAGCTAGGCTGGGTCAGGGGGGTTCTTCATGGTGATACAGGGCCTGGCACAGATGAGATGCTTAAATATTTATTGAATGAATATCGTTTATAATTCTGACTAACCTCATGAAATAGCTACTATTATTAGTAAACAAAAATGCATTGATTCGGGCCAGCCCGGTGGCGCACTGGAGAGTGCACCGCTTGGGGAGCGCGGCGGCACTCCCACCGAGGGTTCAGATCCCATGTGGAGACCGGTTCCCGCTCACTGGCTGAGCGCAGTGCGGGTGCAACACCGAGGGTTGCGATCCCGTTGCCGGTCCCCGGTGCGGGCGCAACACCGAGGGTTGCGATCCCGTTACCGGTCAGTAAAAAAAGATAAAAAGGAAAAAAAAAAATGCATTGATTCAGTCTTGGTTAAAAATAAAAGTTGTTATAGGGTTCAATTGTATCTACATTAGGTTCTTTGAATTTTCCAAACAATAAGAGAGAAGAGATTAGAAAACATTTATTTACCAGTGATTTAAGATCATAAGAATATTTACATTTATTTAGGCTCTATCTTTTATTGTTTTTACAAAGATGAAACAAATGCTTCCTAAGGTACTCAATGCAGAGTTCTTTGGGAAGATATTCATTCTGAAATATTCATGGTTAAATACAATTGTTTTAGGGAATGGGATTTCCTTATGTTGTAAATGAACTGTTAATCTGACCCATGTAAAAAACACACAGGTTCTTTTTTAGAAGAAACTTAGACCTTTGTGTCTAGTTTACTATAAATTTTTATCGAAATGTTCCATATGTATTAGTCCTTTTCTGTTGCTTATAACAAAATACACAGAACTGAGTAATTTGCAAGAAAACAAAATTTATTGCCTACTATTGCTGAGGCTGGGAAGTCAAAAGTCCAGGGAACACAGCTGGTGAAGGCCTTGGTGGTGGTGACAGTGATGGCGGAGTTATCACATTGTAGAAAATGACGGAGCAGAGAGAGCAGAGCAGAGAGAGCTCCTCCTGTCCTCCCCCTTTAAAGCCCTCAGAACCACACCTGTGGCCACCATTATTAACCCATTCACCATGGCACAGTCCTACAATCTAATCACCTCTTCAAGACCCCACCTTTCAATTACCGTAATAGGACTTCCCACCCTGAACAGTTAACAGTGGGGATTAAGCCTTATTGAGGTCTACAGCAGCATTCAGAGAAGTATGTATATGTTAAGTATGCAGCTTACAGATTTTTCACAGGTTGAACCTACCAGTGTAACCAAACCCCAGATCAAGAAAGAGGCCATTAACCACCACCCCAGAAGCTCAGTTTCTCGTGTGCCCCACTATCCCCACCCCAAGCATAAGTACTACCAAAACAATAGATGGATTTTGTCTGTTTTTGTACTTACATCAATGGAATCACACAAAATGTGCTTTTCCGTGTCAGGCTTCTCTCTGCATTCGTGAGATTCATCTGTGTGGGTGTGTGTCGGTGTAGAGTGTTCACTCTCACTGCTGCACAGTTCTCCATTGTGCGAAGGCGCCACAGTTTACCTGTTCTGCGGTCCATGGGTGTTTGGATGGTGCTGCTTAGAATATCCTGGCACGTGTCTATGATGAGCTCGTGCAAGCACTTCTTCAGAGTGTGTACCTGTGGGTGGAACTGCGGGGCCGTGGAGGAAGGGCATGTCCAACGGCAGTAGGTGGCCATCAGTCAGCAGTGTAGGGAGGGTCCCCCTTGCTCTTCACCCTCACCAGTGTTCAGTGTTTCCTGTGTTTTCATCCATTCAAGCATATATGTAGTGTATTTCTTATTCTAATTTATTGTTTCCTGATGACAGATGAAGTTGAGTACCTTGTATGGTTTATCGGCCATTTGGATATTGTCTTTTGTGAAGTGTCTGTTCAATTCTGAATCTATCTTTAATCCTTACCGGTTACGCAAGTAAAATGAAAATGTGAGTCTGTCAGTTTTGAACCCAGACCTAAGGCAAAGCAGATTTCTCCCTTAGGTGGTAGGGCCCCTTAGGCCAGCCCCTTTCCTGCACCTCGCTTCTTCTGCCACCACCCAGAGCCACTGCAGGTGACTACCGCTGGCCATGTCCAGTTCAGCACAGGGCAGCTTCACAGCGTCATATCAAGCTTTCGATGCTCATCCTCTTTGCCCTGACAGTTCCATTTCTAGGAGTCTGTTCTCATCATCTGAGTGCACAAGAGATGAGCGTGAGGAGCTCATCAGGGCAGCGCTGTTCAGAGAGCAGAGGGTAGTCTGGAGACTGGAGGCTTACGCTTGTCATAGTCTGCCTTTCAGCAGAGCATTATACAACCGTTAACTGTACTCGCCTGGGAAAATGCCCACAATGTAAAGTTAAAAAATGTTAAAGTTAAAAAAATATTTCAGCTCTGCCATATGTGGAGTTATGAGGGATTTTCACTTTCTTGACCTTGGTGTTATCAGCTCAGCTGGTTAGATGCAGTGTTAACCAGCCAGCTCTGGGATTTTTCACTTTCTATGTTATATATTTTTTGCAGTACTTGGATTTTTCTAATGAGATTGTTTTACCTTTGTTGCTGAAAAAGAAAAAACATATGCTTAATATTTCTATCATCAGTGTCATAAGTCAGTAGACTTCCTGAACAAATGGGTAATATGAACAGATTTTCATGTCATAAGAGCCTTTGGTATTGCAAAACTCCAAGTATTGTTTTCTCTGTGTTTTAACATCAATACTTCTGTGTTAAGTAAGACAGAGGATCTTTTAATGTGGGAAATGTTGGGGAAAAAAAATGAAACACCAGATTGCTTTCAACCCTAGTAGGCTGGGATTATTTTTAGCTTTTACCTTATTAAAGTGTTGGCAGAGGCCTGGCGATGTTATCAAATAGCAATAATGGCTGTCATTTATTAAGCATTTGCTGTGTATCGGGTCCTTGGCTGCATGGTTTACACACGGGCTCATGTTTAATCCTGACAGCAGCCTGAGGAGGAAATAGGTCTGTGGTTATGCCTTTTCTATAGGTGAGGAACCTAAGGCTCAGAGAGGTGAAAAGTTTGTCCAAGCAAGTGGCTGAACTCAAGTTCTAACACAGACTGCCTGACCCCACAGCCCACGTGCTGCCTACGGTATCCACAGCCCACTCAGACCATCCTCTTGTCTTCATCTTTACATTGTAGTCTGTAAAATCCTAGACAAGTGATCACACTTTAGAAAAATCTGAAATCCTTATATTTTAAAAAGTTCTTCCTAATGTCCTCAAGTCACTTCTCCATTCCAGCTCTCCTTTTTACACATTTGAAAAATGAGGGGTGTGGATTAAGTAAGCGATCTCAAAATTGGCCTCCATCCTTTCATAAATGCCTCAGAGTGTTTTCCACCATGATCTTAACTTTATGGTCCCTCATATCGTTGATGTTTAGAGACTCCCCCGCATCCCAGGGCAAAATTAAGCTCTGACAGAAACCACTTCTAAGTTGGGATCCCAGCTGCTGCTACAAGTGACATTTGAAAGAAGGCCAGTTGATATGTACATTTGTCAGCACAGGCAGAGACCATTGTGAGGCCTGGCTGAGGAGAAAGTTGAAAATTTAAGAATGAAATCCTGGCACCTGGCAGACCCCTTTGGAAGAAAATGGTTTGGCTTTGGTGTGTTTTTGTTTGTTTTTTTTGTTGAGACATGATTCTTGAGCAAGCTTACGTGCTCTCCTTCGCCCATCTCTTTCTCTCTAGGCAGAGAAGGACATTCATCGGACAGCCAGATCTGCAGCCTGTGATGCCCAAGAAAGTGGCTGCTGGTAACATCATGGTCATTTATCCAGACATTGTTTGCAAGCTCATGTGAGCTATCCTTCCTCTGGAAGAAATAACTAGCAGATTAGTCATTGGGAAGTCTGACATTCCTTGGTGTAAATGCCACACTGAGCATAGGCTGAGGCTTTGTTTTCTTAAGTTGTGTCAATGACCTTTGAAGTTGCTTTCAGAGATTTGATGGATCACAGTAAAATATACCAGCATATGGCATTTCTATGTGAGGGAGAGCTTTTGTCTCCTGTGGTCAGACATGGCCATATGGAAAAATGTGCAAGTCTCTCAACCCCAGGGATTGGTAGTGGTGGGGAGCAACTGGGACTCTCTTAACCTTGCTAGTGTTTAAGACTTGTTAGTGGACTATGATGTAGCACTGCCACTTTGGAGAATCATTCAATATCCATAAGATTAAATATAGTATATATCCTACAGACCAGCAGTTCTACTCAGAGAGAGCCCTTGCCTGTATTCCAGGAGGTGTGTATGAGAAAGTTCCTAGCAGCAGCAGCATTGTTCATAAAAGCAAGAAAGCTGGAAACAACCCAGTGTCCACTGACAGGAGAGCAGATAAGTATAACTGGTATTATGGAATCTGTGGGCTTTCACAGCACTGAAAACGAAAGCACTGATATATATATATATACAACAACCCAGTGTCCACTGACAGGAGAGCAGATAAGTATAACTGGTATTATGGAATCTGTGGACTTTCACAGCACTGAAAACGAAAGCACTGATATATATATACACACACACACACACACACACATACATATACATACATACATACATACATACATACATACACATCACCATGGCTAAATGTCAGACCTACTATTGAGTGAAAAGCAAGAGCATGAGAATCTTTACACTGTACTATCATTTATGTAAAGTTCACAAATTGATAAATTATACACGCAGAAATAAACTATCACAAAAAGTAAGGGATGATAAGCAGGAAAGTCAGAATGGTGGCTACTCCATCGTAGGCAGGAGAGATGTGATAACAAGGGAGCATGTGGTACGTCACTGGAACTGATACGTTGTACTTCTAGGGGTGCATTGTTCAGTGTGGCAGCCACCAACCATGCCTGGCTGTTTCAGTTGTACAGTTAAATAAAAGTTTAGTTCCTCAGTCACACTAGCCACATTCAAGTAAGTGCTCAATAGGCACAAATTGCTATTGTGTTAGACAGTACAGATACAGACCATTTCATCATTGCAGAAAGTTCTTTTTGGGGCCGGCCTGTGGCTCACTCGGGAGAGTGTGGTGCTGATAACACCAAGGCTACGGGTTCGGATCCCACATAGGGATGGCCGGTTAGCTCACTGGGTGAGCATGGTGCTGACAACACCAAGTCAAGGGTTAAGATCCCCTTACCGGTCATCTTTTAAAAAAAAAAAGAAAAAAAGAAAGTTCTTTTTGATAGGCTAGATAGTGGATGCATGGATTGGATTCATTCCCCATAACTGTATATGTATGTATGGAATCTTTTAAAATGTTGTTTTAATTTCAGTACTAGCAAATCTCTAAAAAGATACATAGTCATATACAAAATGCACTATCCATCGGCAGTATCTCATTTAATCTATGTTGTATCGCCATCTCAAGAAGGATAATGTTATCCGCCCCGCTTTCCAAAAAAAGAAACTAAAGATTTAGAGAGGTGACTTCTAAGTATTTTAACCCAAGCAGTCTGACTCCAGTGCACACTCTTTTAACCCCCACATGAATGATTAGAGTGTTCACATAATTTTGAAGTATAAAGAAGGAAGTATAAACTGTAGAGGGGACCCACCCTGCTCACGTGGGGAAGGAGAAGAGGCAGGGCAGAGGTGAGCTAGGGAAATCACACCATCCCAGCTTACCTGCTTCAAATCTCAGGGATAAGTGGGCATATAAGGTTGGAGTTGAGATCCCCTCCTGCCCGTCCTGAGCTATAACAGGTGAGCAAGCCAGGTGCATTGGCTTTCTGTGGATTTATGTCCGCATTTGGGGACTAAAGAGGACTTCCTGCAGCTCTGGCCAGCACACAGCTGTGAAGTGGTGTTTGGTTTGACTCTGCATGTGAATGAGGGTCAGTCCCTGGCTTTTTAATTTGGTACAGAGTGCAAAGGGCTCCTGGATAATTTACAAAGGGCAGATAGTTTATCTGATCCTGTCTGGTCACTTGGAAGGTCTTTGACAAAGGAATTGAACTTTGGCCTTATTAAATCACACGCAACAATAGTAGACACAGTGACCACCTTATATATAGTACAAGGTGCTGTGTCATTTATTTGGAGTTGGGGGTTTTTTATTTGTTTTTTTCTTAAGTACTAAATCGCTGGGAAAATTGGCAGGGGGAGTGCTTTTTATTTTTAAAACGACAGATATCTAGATTTTTTCAGTGCATACTATAGTGCTTTATTCCATAATTTTCAGCCAATTTCAAGTATTTTCTGTGAATTTCTGCTGTTACAAAAAGAAGCAGGCTTCCTGGGACAATTTTTTGGTTGGTTGATGTGTTCAGGTGTTGAGTGAGTGTTTACCGCGCATCTTCTGTGGCCAGTCACCACGTTAGCCCTGGGAAAATAGGCATGAGCAAGACAGGTACACCTGTCAGGGAGCTTGTGTTCTTGTAGGGAGACAAGCATGTAGATAAATCAATTAACAAGATCGTTTCAGACACTGGAATATATTGTGGTAAGTGGTGAAATGAAGGAAGATTGCCTTCATCTTGATTTTTTTTTTTTAAACGGCTTTGAGATGTAATTCACATATACAGTTCACTCATTTAAAGTGTACAATTCAATGGTTTGGTTTTTTTTTTTTTTAAGTTATTCACTAGGTTGTGCAACCAATCACCAGATTCTAATTTTAGAATATTTTTGTCACCCGTCAGAAGAAACCCCATACACTCATTAGTGGTCACTCTGCATGCCTCTTTCCTCTCTGCCCCCACCCCCACCCCAACCCCTACCGCTACACCCACAGTCTTAGGCAACCACTAATCTACTTTCTGTCTTATAGATTCACCTATTCTGGACATTTGAAATAAATGGTATCATAAAATTTGTGGTCTTTTGTGACTGACAGCTTTCAGTGAGCTTGTTTTCAAGATTCATCTAAGTTGTAGCATGTGTCAGTACTTAATTTCTTTTTATTGTCAAATAATATTTCATTGTATGGATTTACCGCATTTTATTCAGTTACTCATGAACATTAAGACGTTTGAGTTGTTTCCGCCTTTTGGCTGTTCCAAATAATGCTGCTGTGAACTTTCCTGTACCAGTCACATAGACATATGTTTTCATTTCTCTTTGGCCTATACCTAGGAGTGGAATTGCTGGGTCATACGTGTTCCAAATAATGCTGCTGTGAACTTTCCTGTACCAGTCACATAGACATATGTTTTCATTTTTCTTTGGCCTATACCTAGGAGTGGAATTGCTGGGTCATACGGGAACCTTGTGTTTGATCTTGTGATGAACTGCTAGATGTTTTCCAAAACATCTGTACCATTTTACATTTCCACCAGTAGTGTGTGAGGATTCCCGTTTGTCCAGTCCTCAGCAGCACTTGGTACTGTCTCTTTTATTATACCTGGTGGGTGTGAAATAGTAACTTATTGTGGTTTTGATTTACATTTCTCTAGTGACTAATGGTATTGGCCATCCTTCCATGTGCTTATTGCCAATTTATATATCTTTTTTTTGGACAAATATCTATTTAAAGTCTTTGCCCATTTTAAATTGGGTTGTCTTTTATTGCTGAGTTGTAAGAGTTCTTTTTATTTTCTGTATACAAGTTCCTTATCAGATATATGATTTGCAAGTATTTTCTCCCATCCCGTGTGTTGTCTTTTCACTTTCTTGATGGTATCATTTGCAGCACAAGACTTTAATTTTGATGAGATCCAGTTTATCTATTTTTTTTCTTTTATCGCTTGTGCTTTTGGTGTTATATCTAAGAAAAACGTGGTCAAATTCAAGGTCACAAAAACTCCTATGTTTTCTACTAAGAGTTTTATAGTTGTAACTGTTACATTTAGGTCTTTGATCTATTCTGAATTCATTTTTGTATATCCCGTGAGATGGGGACCCAAATTTATTCTTCTGCATGTGGCTCTCCAGTTGTCCCAGCACCGTTTGTTGAAAAGACTGTTTTTCCCCCATCAAATGGTCTTGACACCCTTGTTGAAAATCAGTTGGCCATAGACACATGGGTTTGCTTCTGGACCCTCAGTTCTATTCCATTGATCTATATGCCTATCCTTATTCCAGTACTGTACTGTCTTGATTAGTGTGTCTTTGTGGTAGTAAGTTTTTAAACTGAGAGGTGTGAGTCCTGCAGCTTTATTTTTCAAGATTGTTTTGGCTATTCTAAGTCTCTTACATTTCCATGCCAATTGTAGGATTAGGTTGTCAATTTCTGCAAAAAAAAAAAAAACAAACCAGTTGGGATTCTCATAGGGATTATATTGAATCTGTAGATGAATTTAGGGAGTGTTGCCATGGTAACAATATTAAGCCTTTTGACCTATGAACATAGGGTGTCATTCCATTTATTTAGATCATATCTAATTCCTTTCAACGGTGTTTTATAGCTTTCAGTGTATAAGTCTTACACTTCTTTTGTTAAATTTATGCCTAAGTATTTTGTTCTTTTTGATGGTACTGTAAATGGAAGCTTTTTAAAATTTCACTTCAGAGTGTTCATTGCTGCTATATAGAAATACAGTTGATTTTTGTATGTTGATCTTGGATTGTGTGACCTTACTGAATCTGTTTGTCATTACTAATAGATTTTTAGTGGATTGTTTGGGATTTTTCATACACAAGATTATGTCATCCACAAATAGGGATAGTTTTATATCTTCCTTTTCAAACTGGATGCCTTTTATTTTTTCTTCTTGCCTAATTGCCCTGCAAGAACTTCCAGTACAACATCAAACAGGAGTGGTAAGAACGGACATACTAGTCTTGTTCTTGACCTTAGGAGGAGATTATTCAGTCTTTTACCATGGCCCAGAGGGTTTTGGATACCGTACTTCTAGTTCAGTCTCTGCTGCCAGTTCTGGGGCCTTGCCCATGTCATTTGTCACAGTTCTGTAAACCAGAGAATGAAGAGGCTGATTCAAAAAGGCCTTCCTTTCCAATTCTCACATTCTGCACTTCTGTGATTCTACTTGGTATCCTTTCTTCTTAGCCAGTTCCCTTGGATGTTCCCTTGGATGTCGGTTACATCATCATATGAACTCTATAAGGACACTTGGAAATATTTGCAAGTTCTTTTTCGATATCCATTTTGACTGCCTTCAACTTCCACAATTCTGAACAACTTAACCTAGGTGGAAATTGTAAAAACTGAAGCAGAGATATTTTTTGGTTTTGTTTTTGGTGCCTGGCTGGTACAGGGATCCAAACCCTTGACCTTGGTGTTATCAACACTGTGCTCTAACCAACTTTAACTGGCCAGCCCAGAGATGTTTTAATGGATCTATATTTCCTTTCCTTTGAAACTCTGAACATCCAGGAGGAAAGACTGGCTTGGGTACACTGCTTATTTCCACAAAAGTTTAGTGAGCCACAGCTTCTTCCCACTCTGCCCTCTGACAGTCAGTATCTTCTTTGTTTTAGACTCTCAGCGTTCTCACCTCTCCTCCTTCACCATGAAGCTGATGGACAAATTCCACTCACCCAAAATCAAGAGAACACCATCAAAGAAGGGAAAACCAGCTGAAGTGTCCGTGAAGATTTCGGAGAAGCCTGTGAACAAAGTAAGCCAACTGTCTCTAGGTGTTTCCATTGCTTGCTTTGAGCAATATGAGTTTGTGCTGTTTGTCAGTTCACTCCACGTGGACTGAGCTTTCAGTACGGTAACAACCATTCTGTAGCTTTGGATGGTTCCAGACAGAGCCTTCAGTGTCCCTGTGAAATGTGAACCTTTAGGATTGTAAGTCTTTGTCATGTTAATCAGAGTTAAGCTCAGTTGACTAGAACGGTTCTCCTTTTCCAGCTGTGTCATCCTCTGGGCATTAAAAACAGCTCAGCACATCATGTTCATACCCCAAGATGCCGCCTTCCTGCCCCAGAGGTACCCACATTGCCCTGGTGCACACACACACAGGGAAGTTTGTGATGTTCAGGAGTCCACCTTTTGGCTTTACGGCCTGTGCTCTAAAACATGCAAACCCCTTGAAGCCCAGCCAAAGTTGTTCTCAAGCACTAGCAACCTCAGCAGGGCTGGTCAAGCCAGATGTTAAAACAGCTGTTGATTTTCATCAATCCCTCCCTTCAGCCTAAAATGGACATTTTAAGCTCTGTAGGAATCCAGGTTTCCTCTCTTCCAGGAGGCAACAGACAGATTTCTACCAGAGGGCTACCCTATCCCCTTGGATCTGGAGCAGCAGGCAGTAGAATTTATGTCCACCAGTGCTGTGGCTTCCAGGTCTCAAAGGCAGAAGGTCAGTGTGACATTAAGAGGAATCGGGTTTGCCTTGCCTTCTACTACAGAATCCTGGCCCATGGTTTTGGGGATGGAAAAAGATCTATTGCAATATAATTGTGTTCAATTGGGTGGCGACTGTGGGCTGAATTCTTCAGGAAAGAGTCCAAGGGGCCTTGGATAAAAGGGAGAGTTTATCCAGGCTCTCATGGTCTTTGGAGAGAGCTCAGTACTCTCTCCAAAAAACAGAGTAAAAGCTTGGGGATCCTTTCTGGGGTTGGCTTGGGTGTGCTGCTTGGGTCCAACGGTTTCTAGGGGAAAGTGGGCGAGTCTCATCTCTAAAGACCAGCTGTTCTTTCCTTGCATTGCTAAGATGATCTGGATAGTTTAGAATGGGGGACCTTAGGGTGCTCTTTTAGACATCAGCAGGGCTCGGGAGTGTGGTAAGACTGCCACTTGGCCCAGTGCTGTCAGAGCCAGGACACCTGTGTGTTGCTAACATTTATCGAGCCTTTTCTTGGCCCCTTGCTAAGCACTTTACATGTGTTCTCTTACTTAATCTTCATAACAGCCCTGACACGTGAAAAATTTATTTTACTGAAAAGGAAACTGAGTCTGTAGAGATATTAAGCATTTAGCCAAAGTCACACAGCAAAAAAGCAATGAAGTCAAGATTTGAATGCAGGCTGTATGATGTCAGAGTCTGAATTCTCACGATGCTACAGTTCCTCTTCATGAAAGAAAGCTGGAGTTTACTTTTTTTTTTTTTAAAAAAAAGATGACCGGTAAGGGGATCTTAACCCTTGACTTGGTGTTGTCAGCACCACGCTCAGCCAGTGAGCGAACCGGCCATCCCTATGTGGGATCCGAACCCGGGGCCTTGGTGTTATTAGCACCGCACTCTACCGAGTGAGCCATGGGCCGGCCTTGGAGTTTACTTTTTAATATCTCAGAAATCTAAATATTACTCCCTTCAGTATGATCCTCAGAAAGAAATTAAAGAAAAAGCTAAACCAGATTTGTCATTAAACATGAAAATAAAACTAAGCAATGTAAAATAAAAATAAGCCTTGTAGACAAATATCCTCAATCCTCTAGTGATTATCCAAAGGATAATTATATTAGGACTATTGCCACAACCATCAGTTTAAATGCAGCTGGCAAACACTGCCCTGTTATTTAAACACATAATTCTTGAATTTTGCAATTCATCTACTTTTGGTTTTTATGTTGGCCAGCAGAATATCTTAAAATTCTAGTTAGAAGTGGAGAAAATAAAAGTTTTAAGTCCAAAAGTCTTATGTTGAATAATAGTTTTTCCTGTCCCATCTGTTAACAAAAGGAGGCTGAAGAATAAGAGGGAAATATTCAGCGTTTGCCAGATTGATCTAAATTCCAGATTAAAGAAGAGTAATAAAGCAGACGATCTGGTCTGTGCCACATTATTTTGTATTACAATCTGTTTAGCAACCTCTTGGAGCTGAGTTTAATATTAAACTCCAAGAAGAGTGTAAATTATCATCTCACACCACTCTATGCAGATCAGAGTAAAATGACTTACTAATGATGTTCTGCCAGTGAGCTCTGATATGAAACTGTTCAACCACTCAATTCTTAGATTTTCCCTCTCTTCATTAATTATTCCAAGAGAGGTCGTGAAGGAAAATCTGATGCTAAAGTACCCTCACGTAGTGAGGTGCTTGCAAATCTCAGGGGACATTTGGCAATGTCTGGACACATTTTTGGTTGTCATGGTAGGATGGTGAAGCAGGTGCTACTGGCATCTAGTGTGTAGGAGCCAGAGATGCTGGTGAACATCCTACAATACACAGACAGGACAGCTTCCCCACAGCAAGGTATTACGCTTGGGAGCGCGGCGGCGCTCCCGCTGAGGGTTCGGATCCCACATACAGACCGGTTCCCGCTCACTGGCTGAGTGAGGTGCGGGCGCAACACCGAGGGTTGCGATCCGTTGCCGGACATGAAAAAAAGCGTCTTCTTACTGGGCCTTGCTGTTCTGGTCCAATGGAAAAGAATAATGTTGCAGTGCCTTTAAAAATTCCTGAGGGCCGGCCCAGTGGCGCACTCGGTAGAGTGCGGCGCTTGGGAGCGTGGCGGCGTTCCTGCCAAGGGTTCGGATCCCATATACAGACCGGTCCGCTCACTGGTTGAGCGCGGTGCGGGCGCAACACCGAGGATTGCGATCCCATTGCCGGTCGCGGTACGGGCATGACACTGAGGGTTGCGATCCTGTTACCGGTCACGAAAAAAGACAAAAAGGAAAAAAAAAATTCCCGAGATTCCAGTTTCTTATTATCTTGATTCTACTTTGCTCCCACCATACCCCCAACCAGGCTTAGTCCGGATCTGAACGGCTCCCTGTCCTGTAGTGTCGTAAGACGAGTTACTCTGCGGAGGAGGGCACCTGGGCTGCGGATGGGATGAGGGAATGAAGGCGCAAGTTGGTGCTCCCGATGCTGCTCTGCTGAGGGGAGAAGCATCTGAACATTAGGGCCAGTTTCTCTCACCTCTTTCTCCTCCAGAGCCTATCTTATGTAGCAGCTGAGCTAAGTTTTCTGACTGTCTCTGCCATCTGGGCCTCGTTTTCCTTGTTTATTAATTGAGAGCTTTGGACCAGAGGGTCTCTAGTAAATTTCTTTACTTCTTCCACTGTTTCTGATCAATCTTTTTCCCCCCTTTCCATCTCCCCAGTCTCTGGACTCAGACACACCAAGTTCAGATTCCATTTTCATCACTACAGCTGTATGACCTTGGGCAGGTTGCTTACTTAACCTCCTCTCACTTCCTACCACGGCTCAGTTTCCTCACCTGTGAAATAACAGTATCTACTTCATGGAGTGGTTGTAACCCTTAAAAAAAACAATGCATGTAAAATCCATAGCACAGTGGGTAACTTGAAGTATCCATGGAGTGGTAGCTGTAATCGGGCCTCTTTCTTTCCCTTTTAGGTTTTTACATCCTTTCTCCTCCTTCTTTGCTTTATTAGCAGATATATAGTCTCTGATTTTGGTATAGTGTCTGTTAAATTTTATGAACTACTTCCATACACATTCTCATCTGATCCCCCACATTAGCCTCTTTAGTTACAGGGCAGACATTATGCTTCCCGTTTTGCAGACAAGGAACCTGAAGCCCACTGCTCCCTAAGCCCAACAGTTGGCCTTGGACCTAGGCTCTCCCCAGGCACTGACAGCCTCATTTAGTTTCCAGGCTTATGTGGACCAGTGGTGGTATCTGGAGCCCCACAGCAGGAGCGTGTGCAGGTACACGCATCTGCCTGCCTGAGATCGTGCAGCACGTAACTTGAGCAGAGCCAGGGCATCGGGTCCCTGGTGCTAGCTAGTGCTGGGTATGGGTGTGTCCTCGTAAACTCTGCTCACTGAGGGCTGCACTTTGCAGGAAACCACTGTTTAACAGCTGAGGGGCCAGCGGAATGCACAACACTCAGAGGCTGTTACTCTGGGAGTGGGGTTTGCTGGAGAGTTCAAGGCAGCAGCCTGACTCTGCTAAATTGTGGTTCCTGTATTAGGAGCCTAGGGCAGCCTGGCTTTTACATGGCTGATGTGCTATCTCTGCAATGACAGGAAAATTTTCATTTTGCTCTGAAGTGCCTTGCCCCTTTCGAATGCGTCCCATCCCCAGTTAGCCTCTTTCTTCCTAGCAAAACTGATGGCACATTTTCTTAAAATGTTTCCTGTTCCCTGACCAAGTTTCATCATTGCTGGCTTCTCACTCCTGACGCGCTAAGATAGCACTGTTATTGTCGTAGTCTTCCTCCTGCGGGCCTGACCATGGCTTCAGGCACATTTGATGTCGGCAAGCGCTGTGATTCCTTCACACTCAGGTTCCTCATGTCCATGAGCTGGAGAAACAAGTGCCTGGCCTCTTGGAAACAGACTGTAAATAAACAAATATGTCAGGCTGTGAAAAGAGAAAAACTAAAGCCAGGGTGAAAAGGATCTAGTGATAGGGATCGGGAGGGTGCTTCTCCCTTGGGGACTGTGTCTTAGTGGTCTGCAGAACACCTTTGGGAAGTGACCAATGAGAGAAGTTACATTGTATCTCTGAAAGCCATCTGACTAAAAAGCTATTCACTTGATCTCATTTATTTATATATATTTTTTTATATTCCCATGAAATAAAAGCTTCCACTATTGAATTTTTTAAAATTTAAAGTGACATTCCCCATCATTTTACAAGCAAAGAACTAGTATTCAGAATTGTAATCACTTTTTATTATATGTCTATCTTTGTATTTTTTTTTTCTTCTCTTTTTGTCTTTTTTCGTGTCCGGCCACGGATCGCAACCCTCAGTGTCGTGCCCGTACCGGACCGGGACCGGCAACGGGATCACAACCCTCGGTGCTGCGCCCGCACCTCGCTCAGCCAGTGAGCGGGAACTGGTCTGTATGTGGGATCCGAACCCTCGGCAGGAGCGCCGCCGCGCTCCCAAGCAGCGCACTGTAGCAGTGTGCCACCGGGCCGGCCCATATCTTTGTATTTTTACAGATTATTTAAATCAACATTTTCTAGAAATTATTTTCTTGCTCTCAGTTGCTCTTATTTACATTGGCTGGACGTCACAGAGCCCATGGGTGGCAGTTTTCCTCATACGTGCTCCTCTTACTTTATACTGGATATGTAATAGGTCGTCCTTGAGTAGATTAACCATTTTGGGAATTAACCATTCTGTAGATTACTCTTGACTGGGACCTGGGTCGTTGACGTTAGGGTCAGCAGGGGGAGGGTGGAGAAAGGGAGCAAAGGGTGTGCTCCCCTGACTGTGCATTCTGGGTCTCCCATTGTCAAGAAGAGAGTTGGGTGGTAGTTTGTGTATCTTCTTTTCCTCTGGGTTGGGCTTTCCTTGGCAGCAGAGGGACCCTGACTGCTGTTGGCAGCCATCGCACAAGTAGTGACAGAATCATTGCCATCTGCTTTGGCTTCTTCACCTTCTCACCCAGAGCCTCCCATCCCTTCTAACCCTGGGGGTTTCCAGGTCCTTTGGGAGTGGCATATCATTTCATTAAGAGGGGGCTGCAGGTTTAGGGTGAGCAATATGGGATTCTAGTGAGGAGTCCTGGGGGAAATGGGTCTTGAACCTTAGTGCCCCCAACCAGTTTTACATGTCCCCTTGATCTTTGAAAGCAAGGCCTGTGTTTCTTGATTTGATTTATAGGATGTATATGTACCGCAGGACTTGACTCCTGCTTCTCCAAGTCATCAGTAAATTAGTCCTCACAAACTTAATGAGATCAGTAGTGGTATCTCAGTGTGGTTGGTTAGGACAGAAAGGAGAAGTGACTTTCAATACCTCAGGGTCACAGAAGGGAATTCCGGAGTTTCTAAGTGACCTTTCTTGGTCCATGCCCCTTCCTCTTCCTTTGGGTCTAGCTGTCTCCTGCTTACAATCCTTAGAAAATGGCTTGGTTTCTGCAGCAAGTACCTTTTCCATTCACATCAATCTCAAACTAGTTTACAGGAAATTTTATTTTATTTTTCAAGATAGCTCCCTTTAATCTCTCTCCTCCCTCCTTATGCTTAACGTTTCCTTTCAGAACCTGAGCTGGCTGGAAGAGAAAGAGAAAGAAGTTGTCAGTGCCTTGCGCTACTTTAAGACCATTGTGGACAAAATGGCTATTGATAAGAAGGTCCTGGAGATGCTTCCAGGGTCGGCCAGCAAGGTGCTGGAGGCCATCTTACCCCTGGTGCAGAGCGATCCTCGCATTCAGCACAGGTGAGTCGCCTGGGGGTCTTGGGCTGGGTCACAACAGTGGAAAGCTTAGACGCATCTCGGTTTGGGAGCACTTGTCATGCAAGGTTTCTAGTAACAGTCAGGAAAAGGGACACCCCCACCACCAACTCCCCACCAGCTATCCCTTGATACCATCCCAGGCTGAGGGTGTAGGGGAGGGAAAAATCACTCCCTCCCACGTTCATTGGATGGACTACAAATTAAATGAACGTAAAACAGATTAACAGGAGAAAAACCGTATTTAATTACATGTATATGCACAGGAGTCCCACAAAATATAAGGCTCCAAGAAGGGTCAGGTGATTGAAGCTTATATAGCATCCTGAGCTACAGAAAAGAATGGGGGTGACAGTTTTATGGGAGGGCAAAGGTAGGAGTTGTGTGCTGGTTATCTTGTCACACAGATGAAGTCTCTCATGTAATAAAAGTTGTCTCTTCCTGATATAGATATTTTACTAATGTAGATTTCCTTCGTAGATAGAAATTTCATTTACAAAGGACAGCTTTTCAGAGCTACTCCTGCGTGTGCAGTTTCTCAGAATAACTAGCTCAAAATATGCCGAAGTATACGAGGGTACTTCAAAAAAGTTTGTAGAAAATTAGAATTAAAAGATAATACAAAGATAATACAAAGCTTTACATGAACTTTTTGAAGTACCCTTGTATTTTGAGGTTGCGTGTCCTGAGCCCCAGCAAGGTCATTGTTATTCCTGTAGCCTCAACGCTGAGGCAGATTTCTGCCTTCCCCATGGATGTAGCTGTGGTGTAAGTCTGTGGTTATTTCTTTACGTTTGCTCATTGGCAATAATCCCATTGATTTGGGCACATTTCTCCTAGTTCCCTCAGCCACCTAACATATTCACTCAGTCCTATCAATATCTAGCCTACTAGAGTCCTCAGCTGTTTAGATGATTAGACCAAAAGAGGTAGAAAAGAACCCGTTAGAGCATGGAGTAGTGAAGCCCTTAACTGTATCAAGCCAGGGTCTCCCAGGGCAGCAGCTGGATGCGGTGGAGTTCACCAGGGTGGGAAGGGTGGGGGGTGGAGTCAGCCTTTGCTCCAGGAAGCTTTTCTTAGGTAATGCTTTTATTGCTAGAGCACCTTCTCCTCCTAAAGGTTAGTGAGCAGCTTGCCCCATATGTATTGTTAAGCACAGAAAGAAAAGCAACAGTAAATGTAATCTTAAGTGAAAGCCTGGTAGGAGTTTTTTCTTGAGAGGTTTTTTGTTTTCCTTACATGGTACCTGTTTAGGATAAATGCATCTCTGTTTCGATTCCTTGAGATTGCTTAGTGTTCGCTCAGGCCCATGAGGCTAAGCTTTTATGAACTGCTTTCAAAACTCGAGAATGAGGGCCAGCCCGTGGCTCACTCGGGAGAGTGTGGTGCTGATAACACCAAGGCCACAGGTTCGGATCCCTATATAGGGATGGCTGGTTAGCTAATTAAAAAAATATTGTAGAAAGAAGAGAGAAAAGAAAATTTTATATTTAAACCAGACATATCTTATATACAGAATACCTAGATTGTTTTCAGTGCAGTCAAAACAGTCCACTTTTATATACACAGTGCTATGGATTGAATTGTGTCCCCCCCCTCAAAGTTTATGTATTAGAAATTCAAGGGCCAGCCCGTGGCTCACTTGTCAGAGTGTGGTGCTGATAGCACCAGGGCTATGGGTTTGGATTCCAATGTAGGAATGGCCGGTTGGTGAGAGTGTGGTGCTGACAACACCAAGTCAAGGGTTTGTCTTCCCACAGTCAGTCCAGTGCCCAGTGTGGGAAGGGCTCAGTACTGGTCCCCTTGGAGGAAATTTACTATGGTTATACTATGGTTAGATGAATGGATGGCTTTTATAAAATGCTCCCACATGTCTGTTCTCATGGCTGGTCCATACAGTGAAAGTGTTCAAATCTAGTTGAAAAAATCAGCTCCCCCCATCATCTGATAAAGTATATGGTATAGACAGAGTGGAAGCTCTGTTGAAGTATGAAGAAGGGAAAGTTACAAGAGAGTGGTAGTCCCATTAAACTTCTTGGAGGAGGAATTTCCACAGCTGGACTTGAGGGAAAGACAGGAATTGGCTTGGCTGCGGGGACAGGGGAATGGCAAGAAACAAGGAGCTGAGGCCTCTGGGCGTGGTGTGTTCCTGGGAGGAAGGAGAGAGTCGCAGTCCCATGCAAAGAGTGTGTGCCACTCCAGGGCATTGACAGGGGGACGGTGGGGAAGAGGACGGTCACTTCCCTGCTACCCTCAGGCGCTAAGCCTTTTTGGGAGAGTCCAGGATAGAGTCACCTTAGCTAAATCCCACAGCTAATGATGTGACAGTGTCTTGCTGCCAGGATTGTGGCTTCCTGGAGTGTTAGCCAGTAACTCCGTGTGGAGATTACATGCAAACACTGGATAAGAATTGATCAAGTCACATGATAGTGGGGGGGGGGCTTCTTATAGTTGACAAAAATTATTTGATGACTATAGCCATTTTCTAGAGAGGAAAAAGGGAAGTGCCTGGGTAGCTTTTTGTAGAGAATTGTGAGAAGGAATTGTGAAATAGTTTTGTTTTTTGTTTTTTTTTCCTGGTACTCATTTGGCTAATACCATTGAAGGGATTTTCCTCCTGAAATTCTTCCAAAGCCAATGGTGATATTTTTATTGATCTCCCTGAAATGAGAAAATACTTCCTTAGATGTTCCTGTTAGATTCTTTCTGTCATCTCCTTCCTTTCTGCTTGTAGTTTGGAAGCTGAAAGGCATTTTCCTGCCTTCTGCTCAGAGCCTCTTCTGCGGGCCTGTTCCTTGTAGGCAGGCCCTCTGCTGCCCTCACCTAGGCTCCCAGGATGGTGGTAGACCAGTCTTGAACAAGCAGCTGACCCTTCAGCACAGCAGCAAGTGGAGGATTCTCCTGTATGTGGAGCTGTGCCTGTTTTCACACAGGGGGCCTCGCTCCATTGCAGAAATAGGCTGGGCCACTGGGTGGCATTTCCATAGTACTGGGCCCTCCTTCCTTCCTTTCTAATGTCTTAGCCCCTTGACAGAAGACTATTTTGCTTCTAAGCTAGTATGTGAAAGGTGGACATAATTACTAAATTCTCTAAGTGCCTTCCAGGAAACGTTAGCATCCAGCGCAGGTGGGAATTAAGTATTAAACAAAAGTGTTCCCCCCCCCCCTTTTCATCTAATTATTGCTAGTCATTTAACAGTGCGATGCTTTGGTTGAGTTCCCCAATGGGTACATCTGTGGAAGGTGGTGGGCTTTGTTTAATGAGGCCTCACCTGACTTCCAGGAAGAAGTGAGGGAGCCTCACTGCTGGAAGCTCCAGCCCCCAGGAAAGACTGTGGGGTGTTTGTTCTCCCCTCCAGGTCCTCCTTCCTAAGAGAACAACAGTTCCAACACCAAGTGCTTTTCTCTGGGCTTGCTCCGGGCTCTTTTTGAATGTGTTTCTGCCTCTCGTGGGGCTCGAGAAGCTGGCTCATTCTTGCTGACTCTCCTCTCCTGCTGGAACACGCACTGAGCGTAATGACTGGCCGACTGGAATGTTTAGATCTCTTGGAACAACTTTTTCCTTCTTACCTAATTCTGAAGAGCTGCTTATTAGAGCACCGTTTGGTTCATATTTTTGTTTTAAGTGGCTTTGTTTTTAGAACCTGTTTTAATCATATCTTATGATATATATTTTTCCCAGAATTATATCTTCAGCTCCTAGATGTCTGCCTCACATTTTAGGGGGGCGGAGGCAGCACACAAGTTTTGTATATTTTTGCTTTTCCTGTGTTATAATGCATAATGTTTGAAATGGAAAAATAATTCTTTCCAGAATTCCTAAGGAAAATCATATTTAGATATTTGAAAATATGTGGAATATGTAAAAAGTCTTCCTTCTGGGCCGGCCTGGTGGCGCACTGCTACAGTGCGCCGCTTGGGAGCGCGGTGGCGCTCCCGCCGAGGTTTCGGATCCCACATACAGACCGGTTCCCGCTCACTGACTGAGCGAGGTGTGGGAGCAACATCGAGGGCTGCGATCCCGTTGCTGGTCCCGGTCCGGTACGGGCGCGACACTGAGGGTTGCGATCCGTTGCCGGACACGAAAAAAGACAAAAAGGAAAAAAAAAAAGTCTTCCTTCTGGCAGCTGCCGTGTAATCACTGGTGCTCCCAAAGTACTCAGGGCTTCTGTTTTGTGTGTCGGCATCACAGTGTAGCTGTTAGCTGGTACCTTACACGCACACACACCCCGCTACCTTGACATATCTCCTCCACCATCACAAGTCCCCTGGCCTCTGATGTGTTACTCTTGAAGTGGTCTGCATTAGTGCGGTCCTCTGATGCCTCAGCCCTGGTTATAGAGCAGAGGATGGTGAGGCTGCACCCATGCTGGGGGAACCCTAATAAACTATAGACCTGTCTGAGCTGATGGCTGTTCCTTTAAAGGATCCTGCCTGTTAAAATTCCATAAACCTGTTGGCTTCTTGGGATACACCTAAAATGAATTTTAGTCTAATTCATCACAAGAAGTATGCAATGCTTTGACCTAGTTCAATGATTAGCAACTTGAGGGAAGGGAAGATGGGGCTCCCTGAGAAATGTTATCAAAATCAAAGCGTATTAACTATCATGATGGAATTTTTATACATTGTATTTGGGAAATGGAAAAATTTTATAACACAGATTAGAATATAAAGCTCCACAAGATCTTTGTTGGATGTGAGAAAAGGTAAGGGGAGAAAAGGTTTGTTTATTAAGAGGAGGTGTGGATTTTACACAAAGGAAAACTGAGAAACCCCCTAGTCACTGAGAAGCTGGTTCTGTGCTGAACAGGTATCTTACAGTGATGGTCAAGCATTAGATTTTTTTAACATTCTTTTTAAAAATCTTCTCTTCCCTCTAGCTCAGCCCTCTCCTCCTGCTACAGCCGAGTGTACCAAAGTCTTGCCAACCTCATTCGTTGGTCTGACCAAGTGATGCTGGAAGGCGTGAACTCAGAAGATAAAGAGATGGTAACAACTGTGAAAGGGGTCATCAAGGCCGTGCTGGATGGAGTGAAGGTACTAGGCGCGCACGCCAGACGTCCTCCCAGGGGTCTGTCATACAAGAACTCTCCCGAACCTTAATGCAGTAGGATGAAGTTCTTTCAGCATCTCTGGTGGTGATGTGTTCTGTCCAATAACTACTTAATTCTCTCAGGACTGGTATAGATGGCTTTTACAAGCCTCTAGAGTACTTGTCCAGATAGGTGGGAAAGCTGTCAGAAGCAGTCAGCCCTTACTGGGCATTGTATTAAATCTTCAGCAAGTCTTTATGTCCCAGCTCTGGCTGGGCATGCTTGCTGTCTAGACAAAATGCAATGGAGAATATTTTTGCATGGACTTTTAGCAAAACTCCCAGCATGTCAACAGCTACCTTTTCATATTCTAGGAACTTCTGGGATTCTTGGTACAAAAGTAGGATTGAGCTGAGTAAGAAAGGAAATTGCCTATATTTACTTGATATCCATGACATGGTCTGTGTATTTACAATCCAGGGAAGTCAGAGCAGCATAATAGGAAATTATGAATCATAGTTAAGGTGGGAAGCAAAAGCCATAAAGGGCCTGGAATTGAGGTCTGGGGGACAAACCCTAATTGAGAAAATAAGTCCTAGTGGAGGAGGAGCAAGACAGAATGTAGGGCATGAGATGGGTGCGGGCCTGTGGGTCAGTACCAGGCTGTGGGCAGTAGGAAAGTAGACACCCTGCTGATTCACCACTTACTAGTTTGTGAACTTGAACGATTTACTCAGCCGCTCTGTACCTAAGTTAACTCATGTGTAAAATAGGTATAATAATAGTTCTGTGCATCACAGGGTTGTAGGAAGGATTAAATTAGTTAACACATATAATGCTCTTAGAACAATGCCTGACACATACTAAGCACTCAGGCCTTAGCTGCTGTTTATTATTAATTATGTAGTTCTAGGTACATGCTCTGTAAACAGATCTCTTGGCCTGTAAAAACTGTCCTCTTCCTTTCTTAACCCTTGTATGCAAAATTATAGCTGAGGTACTTACCCAGGTGAAAAAAATTCCTTCCCCACTCAACCAGGCTATCAAATTCCTAAAGATGCCTACTTGGATCTACATTCCCCAGGAGCTCTAGGGAGTAGAATAAGGACCCCCAAAGTGTTTAAATTACAGAGATAAGGCTAAGAAGGCATTGCTCCAGAATGAAATGTGTTAACTAGGAAGTCTTGGTGGCTCCCCACCCCCAGCACTGCTTAAGTAGAGGCTGGTGTCTGCTGGGGACTTTGAGGGCATTTAGAGGGAGGTTTGACAGATGACATCAATATTTTCCTCTCGTAGCTCCCATGTTCTCTTTAGTCCAAAAAGTTATTACGTCCTGCATTACCTATTTAGGCCAGTGAGATGTGTAAGTCCAGGATGGCTGTTGTAATAAGACCTTACCTAGCTTTCCAGAATTTGGAGTACAGTCACATTATCTCGTTTGATCCTCGCTGTAGCTCTCTGAGGTCAGCAGGGCAGAGTAGGTTGTTAGTGGGGCTGCACTTCATCAACAGAGTCGTGCAGTTCTGGCTCACCCACCCTTGCTGTTCCTGTCCAGGCTTCTGGAAATGCTGTTATTAAAAATCATTATTTTTCAGGTGACATTGTTAAGGTTTCCTTCTACCAGATTGATTCTGATGAGATGTTCAAAACAAGTTTAGAACAGCTAAAACAGAGATTGAGTTTCCACGCAGAAAGTTTTATGACATTCCCAAGTAGATTTCCTTTATGGAATCATTAAAAGACCAATTGGCTGAAAGGTATGTCCGAAAGAAAAATTTCTATGATGTTTCAAACTGATCAGTATAAAAAAAAAGAAGAGAGAGAAACCTGTGGATTATGAACCTGTCAATGTCTGAGAACAAATAACTTCCACAATTGTTTTAAAAATGTTTTAGCCAGAACAAAGATTCTCTAGATGAGGAGCCTGTAAATTCAGTTTTATTTCTTTTATTCAAGAAACATTTAACGAGAACCTTCTGTGTGCCAGACAGTGTGATAGAATTGGAAATATAATGATGAGCAAAACTGGCTGAGGCCCTGACCTTGTGGAGCTTACAGTCTGGGGGGGGGGGGGCCC